GGCTATCCTTCAAGCTTTAATGTGAAGTCCTTTCAGAGGCTGTCACTTTTTATATGAATAGTGACATTCTGAACTCAAAACTGGGTTAAAAAAATGCAACTGCTGTAACTATTTGAACACTTAAACTTTGATATTTCATATTATTTGGAAATTAATGTCAAAACCCATTGAATATTTATATTAGATATGTACAGAGTTTGTCTGCATAAATATTTGTTTCAAAGTTTTCCCACATCTAAATTTCTATGCCCATAGCTGTAATTGGTTGTCCGCTGTGACCTTGTCATTGTGAGAAGTACTCTGTCCCTTGGGTTCTCAGAAAGTTCTCAAAACACTTCTGGATGTTTTTTCATAATTTATCTTTTTTTTCTGTTAGTGGCTACCATTTCTAGAGGTCAGAATATAAGTAAATAGGCATATGTTGTAGTAACATCATTAAATGTATAAATTCAAGCACCTTGATGTTTTCATTAAAGTTCTTATTGAAGATTTCAGCTTCTCCAGAATGCTGGGATATGGACAATATTTTGGGCAGTGCCAATTTCTGAAGGTGCTTGTTTTGATAGAGTATTTTCCTTCAGCTTTTCGCAATTTTCAGTTGCTGGTTTTCTTGTTAAAGATTTTTGTTTTAAAAACAGACCAATTTCAGAGGTACGTTTAGTGCACATGAGGCTCAAATAGGGTTGTTGATGCATGAATCACAATCATCTTCTTTTGTTTTTTTTTATGACACACTTCAGAAAACAGTTAAACAGGATGATGTTCAGTATTATTTACAGCAAGAGCAGAGCAACTGATATTAGCGAACGTCTGGACAGAAAGGGATAGATACCAACCCAAGGTCAGAGAAGTCAAGAGAAAAGATTTTTTTCTTCATATTAGTGTTAATACAGAGTGAAACAAAATCAAATTCTCATGTCTACTACTGAAGGCTAGATAGGAGAAGGAGATTTTAATTTCTACTACAGAGAAACAAATTGCAAACTGTGGCAAGAAAGATAAATGAAGAGAAAGCTAGTTTTTTTTTGCATGTTCTATTTTTATTTACTTGCTTTATTTGGAAGAACACCATATGACTTATGAAAGAAAATTGCCTCAGAGAACCTAAAAAGACAAGAAACAAATTCAGGTGTTTGAAACATTTGGGCTCCACTGCCTGAGTCGGGAGGGGTGATTGAGAGTGAATAGAAGCTCAAAAGGTGAGGTAAGTGGCATTCAATTCTGAGGGAGAAGGGTCCCGACATTGAACAGACATTTCAAAGAGGAAGAGGTAATGATAACGATGAGTCAGGGTTTAGTAGGTAGCACAGAGCGTAGTAAATACATGTTTGGTGTTGGAAGGGGGTGCGGGAGAATGGAAAAAAATCATATTTCATAATCTTATACAAAAGGTTGCTTGTAGCAATTGGTGGATAAGTGTTCACCTTGGCGCAGCACTCCCATTTTATGTCTGACTCAAAAGTTTCAAGCTGGAAGTCCCACTCCACAGACTTGAGTGCATAATCTAGATTGCCATTTCCTATATAGTACTGAGGAGCTAAGTATTATGGTTGTTCATTCTACCTTTAATATTTTATACAGAAGTAGTCACAAAAAAAATTACCCCATTTATTAGTCCAGCAGTTTTCAATGGAAAAGCCAGAATGCAGGGAGGACTTGTTCCAGCAAATCCTGCTGTATTCGGTGAATACCCAATCTTGCGGTTGCAAAACTACAAAACAAAAGTTGCAATTTGCAGGGACAGACCATATGCTGGGTGTGATATATTGTGATCTAGATCTGGATTTTCAAAACAAAGAATTTAGAATCGTGACCCTGCTCCTTAAAAGCATTGTTCTTTTGATGCTATTTTAAATTTTTCTTTTTTGCTCTTTCATGCAATGTGGGCATCACTGGCAAAGCCAGAAGTTGTTACTCATCCCTAATTGCCCTTGAACTGAGTGGCTTGCTAGACTATTTCAGAGGGCAATTAAGAATCAACCACATCGCTGCAGGTCAAGAGTCACATCTAGGACAGATTTCTTTCTCTATTGGACCATTAATGAACCATCTGAGTTTTCACAACAATAAATATTAGTTGTCATAGTCACCATTAGTTAGACTCACTTTTAATTCCAGATTTATTCATTGAAGTTAAATTCCAGCAGTCTGGGTCTCTGGGTTACCAGTCTCGTGCCATTTCCACTTTGCCACAATCTGCCCTTATTTTAAAATTGCCTAATTGGAAAGGAGGCAGACTTGGCTTACAGGCTGAATGGCATTGAGTACCTTCAGGAGGTAGGAGCTGCCTGCCTCCTGACAGCAACAAAGGCAAGTTATTAACTGTCAGAGCTGGTGTGTTATAGCAGGTAGCTCAGCAGAAGACAAGGAACTGGAAGTGAGGACAGTGACCATGCCAAAAAAAAGGTAGAGTTGTACCAGTGCTCATTGGTTTCTCAAACTTCAGTTTTCCATGCATTCTGTTGAACATACTAATGTACCTGTGATAAACCCAGCAACTGGGCACAAACGAGCACCAAACCTTTCAGGGGTTTGCTGAAATCAAACAAAAATTGCATTCAAGACTGGAGATTCTCGTTAACAAGTTTCTTAACAAGAGTCTAATGATGATCGATAGTGAACTACGATTATTTTCTATGCCTACCCGCCAACTCTTCACTCCCCCCACCCACATCGACCCATGAAGGAAACGCTAAACAATTTGGGATTCCGAGGTGACTTTTGAGACAGTGATTTCCAGTTTCACCTATATTGTGTTCCAACCTTGCCAGTGTTTGAAAACCCACCTCCTAGAATCTTTTTGGCTAATTGTGAAGAGTTTGGGAACTTGCATGATCAGAAAGTTCAAGATAGGTACAGTGCTCCAACAGAAAACATTGTACAGGCATCTGTATGGTAGTTGTATATTAGTGTACCTTTAAAAGACATGATTATGATATCATCACTGCATCTTAGCACATGACCTGAAGCTATAAAAAGGTGTCATACTCTATCTTACTCCACAATCACTTGAAGCATGACACACTACAAGAACAGTTCTATGTAAATGGCTGAGTATCAGCCCAGGCACTTGGTGCCTGCAAAATGTAACATTTGTAATAGTTAGCATTAATAAAAGCCTATTGGATTCTTCATGTTACAATATCAATGCCTAGATTCTCATTATACGAGGGATAATATCAGTACTGACACATCAAGTAAAATACCCTGCTGGAGGCAACAAAGCCACAATTTTAAACTCAGAAATGCTACAGCATAAGCAAGTTACTAAAATCTTAACTTCATGATTTAATATCTATTCTGCTGAAAGCCTTAAGCCCAGTAATACATGAGTTTGCTGATAACCCATGATTAATGCATTAGGTTGAATTTAGCATGCCCTGCTGGGTGCATTTTCAGTGAGGAAGCATTTAAACCAGGTTGAGTGGCCAGTCCATAGCCTTCCTTTCTGCTCCAGAGTGGACCTCTAGAATACACTAGGTTTGCTGGTGCTGATATCTGCAGTCCAGGTCAATTAAGTTTGTTAGGAAGCTTATTGATCTGAATAATAAACTGCCTCTACCAAAATATGGCTGAGAGGTGTAGTCAGGCAGGATTGAATAGGCTCTGTTTTAATCACATATGTGATAAAAAGGTACTAAGTAAAGGGGGCATATCATTCACAGGTGACCTCTGTCCATTGAGGGTGCCGACACATGAGACATCACCTGTGCTGCTTACCCTACGAAATGGATATCCCCACCCCATCTCCCTATAGTCTATGATCCCATCCTGTCCTAAAATACCTTTCTGGGACTGCCAGGCTCCACGTTAGGATGGTTCTTGCAGTCCCAGCAGCGTACTCTATTGACCTCTAGCTCTGCAAGCCGATGGCATTGGTTTGCAGCACCTAAAGTAGGGACCCCTTCCCACTGAAGGGCAGAAGTAATTCACCTAACACACAATGGGCTGTGGCTACAGGGTGAGATTACTTGGAGTGAGTTGACCTCTGGCTGACTTTCCTTCTGGCACCCCCTGTAAAATGCAGCCCATTGTTTTAGTGGTTCTTCATTCAACATTTAGTTATCAACTTTTTCCAAGTCTGTTTCACGCACTGTCTGTCTCTTCTTTTGTGATTTGTGAATGCAAATTAGAAGCCAGTCAGAAATTTTAATTTACAATGGTGGAATTCACAAGATGCAATTTCCAGTGTGACAGACACTATACAATAAATGCATCATTTATAGGAAGATCAATACCACACACAACTGTAAAGGGGTAAATATCAACTTCAGCCAATTACAGGACAGATTGCCTATCCACTATAAAACAATTCTTCATTGAAAATGAAAACTAACCAGTCTCTAATGGGCAGGTAAACCATTCTGTTGGTTGGTTAAAAACTATTTTTTTGTATTAGTATATGTTTAAAAGCATTATTATATAAGACGATAGAGCTAATATGAAAACAAAGCCAGGCAATGTGGCATTGCTTGGAAGTATGTGCTCAGATATTTGTAATTTTTTTAAATGCACAAGTATTATTATGCTGAGGTAGGGGACCCAAGGTTAACGAGAAGTTTAAAGTCTTGGATTTGCAAGAATGCAAATATAATGTGAATAGTTTAAAAAGAGCCTATTCTCTGGTGTTGGTCCAGTTGAATAAATTAGATTATTACATATTTTCTTTGCCAACAGCTGGTCAGCCTGGGACTAGAGAAGGGGAACTCAATGATCATGATAATGGACCCAATATAAAGAGAAGTCAAAAGGAGAAAGGTAGGACAGCTTTCTAATTTAATATTAATGTAAGAGAAGAGAGAGACAACAGTTACATAACCATGTTGTTAAAGCTCCCGGAATATGCTTTGATCCCAGTTTCTCTGGAAGAGATCAGAAAGATCATATTCAGATATGTCAGCAAAGGCTTTATCACTTTTATAATGTAATTGCAGAAAATCTTTCTTCTCCCACTCACTTACCCGTCTCAATTTTCTCATCTTCATCTTACATTTCTACTTGGAAAATGTACATGGCTTATTTTAAGAGTTAAAGTCACCATTAAAATATAGCATCTGGGAATATATAAATGGATGACCTAAAAATAGAATGCAGAAGGAATTCACTGGTGAGCTATTTTCACGGACACTCACAAAATGTCAACCTGTACATTTACAAAAACTGCTGCTATTGCAGATGAGTTTTCAAACAAAAAAGGTACATAAGTCATTTAATAATTTTCTCTGACATGTAATGGTTCCTATAATTAGGCAAATATTACCATGTAAAAATGCCCAAATAAAGGACCACATATTTTATACATTAGGATTGATGTATTGTTGCATAACATTTCCAGCTGCAGTCATTTCCTTCCAGTTAAGCGCAAGTAGGATTTTCCAATAAAGCTTTTGCTTTTATTAAGCATTGATCTCAACAGGAATTCTCATTGCTGATATAAACATTGATCCAACATTTTCAACAGAACAATAAGCTATTCTTGTTCAGCAAGATTAATATAAATCCCAACGTGTATATTTAAAATCCTGCAGAGTTGATACCGGGATGGAGAGCTGAAGCAGGGGAGGTACAACCACTTAGATATTTGGGGTGCTCTGTTGCTGAAGTACAAGGCTTTTAGCTGTGAAACTTACTTTAAATGGAATTATTTAAATAGAAAACAATGGGACAGACTTTGTTTTTATGAGCTGTAATTTATGACTCACATTTAAAAACTATTCAAGATTTACCAAAGAAAAGCAGGTGAGAGAAAAATCTGAAGCAGCAGCTGTTAGTCGTGGTGGACATCCTACTGATGCTAAGTAATGTTAGGCTACAATTTCGTCATCAGCGTACTTTTCATCATCGGAAATTATTAAACATGAGCATGCTGGAAAGGAAACAAAAATGTGCATCATTGCTTGGATCAGATTGTAACTTTTATTAAAAATTTAGTATGGCTACACAGTGTTGGAGGGTATCGATGGGATATTGTATTACAAATCGGATACCTAGCCACAATATCTATACCAACTCACACAGTGGGTCATCAAAGTCATACCAAGCATACCAAGTGTTATCACCGAAAGCAAGTCAGCGTTTTCTGCACCAAGTTCAAGAATCTTAACAGAAGCCTAAGAGTTAGGTTACCTGCCCTGTCATGCTTGAAGAATAGTGCAAAATTTTGAGAGAAGAGATGAAGTGGGAAGAGTATAAAATGAATGGATTAGAGAAAGAAGACATTGAAAACTTTTTAGTGGGTAAAATCCTCAAAACATATTATTTGTGCAGTTATTTCTGTGACAGTGATAACTGCATGATGCAAATTTTTTATGTTCACTTATAAAGCCATCTTATGTTCTTCCACTCAGTTTCATGTCTAAGGGTTTCCCTGTAGTAAACTTCCAATTCATCATTGTCAAGTAAAATTAGATCTTTGGAGAGACCATAAAAAGACAGGTACAAAACACTTGAGATAACAAGGTGTAGAGCTTGTAGAAACCGATAGTGTAGAAACCGATATCCATTTCTAGCCCACCGACTCCCACAACTACCTAGAATACACCTCCTCCCACCTACCTTCCTGCAAAAATGCCATCCCCTATTCCCAATTCCTTCGCCTCCGCCACATCTGCTTCCAGGATGAGGCTTTCCACTCCCGTACATCTCAGATGTCCTCATTTTTCAATTCCGCAACATCCCCCCCCTACCTCAGTGGTCGAGAATGCCCTCGACCTTGTCTCCCACATTTCCCGCAACTCATCCCTCACACCCCGTCCCCGCAATAACAACCAAAACCGAATCCCCCTCGTCCTCACGTACCACCCCACCAACCTCCGGATCCAACGCATCATCCTCCAACACTTCCGCCATCTGCAATCCGACCCCACCACCGAAGACATTTTTCCCTCCCCACCCTTGTCTGCTTTCCGGAGGGACCACTCTCTCCGGGATTCCCTTGTCCGCTCCACACTCCCCTCCAGCCCACCACACCCGGCACTTTTCCCTGCAAGGAAGTGCTACACCTGCCCCTACACCTCCCCCCTCACCCCCATCCCAGGCCACAAGAAGACTTTCCACATCAAGCAGATGTTCACCTGCACATCTGCTAATGTGGTATACTGCATCCGCTGTACCCGGTGTGGCCTCCTCTACATCGGGGAAACCAAGCAGAGGCTTGGGGATCGCTTTGCAGAACACCTACACTCGGTTCGCACTAAACAACTGCACCTCCCAGTCGTGAACCATTTCAACCCCCCCTCCCATTCCTCAGACGACATGTCCATCCTGGGCCTCCTGCAGTGCCACAACGATGCTACCCGAAGGTTGCAGGAACGGCACCTCATATTCCGCTTGGGAACCCTGCAGCCCAATGGTATCAATGTGGCCTTCACAAGCTTCAAAATCTCCCCTCCCACTACCGCATCCCAAAACCAGCCCAGCTTGTCCCCGCCTCCCTAACCTGTCCTTCCTCCCACCTACCCCCTCCTCCCACCTCAAGCCGCACCCCCATCTCCTACCTACTAACCTCATCCCGCCCCCTTGACCTGTCTGTCCTCCCTGGACTGACCTATCTCCTCCCTACCTCCCCACCTACACTCACCTTTACTGGCTCCATCCCTGCCTCTTTGACCTGTCTGTCTCCTCTCCACCTATCTTCTCCTCTATCCATCTGCTATCCGCCTCCCCCTCTCTCCCTATTTATTTCAGAACCCCCTTCCTCTCCCCCATTTCTGAAGAAGGGTCTAGGCCCGAAATTTCAGCCTTCCTGCTCCTATGATGCTGCTTGGCCTGCTGTGTTCATTCAGCTCTACACCTTGTTATCTCAGATTCTCCAGCATCTGCAATTCCTGTTATATCTGCAAAACACTTGACGTGGCCACGGAAAGTGAAACAGGTATTGTGGGTTTCTTCAATATGGGATATTTCCTGAATTTTTCTGAACATTGTATCAGCTTACAAAGAAAGATTAAAAAAAAGTACACTTAAAGCAACAAAAGGATGTGACCTTGTCATAGATGCAAAGAAAGCAGAGGCGCCTTGGCAATAGTGCGGAAATACTGCACTGAATAATAGCCACTTGTGCAAAGTGGATAAAACATATGGAATTGATCAACACATTCTCCTTTTAAGTTACACACAAACACATCAGAAGCAGTTTGGATCTGGCTATTTCTACAGCAATTTGTAATATGTTCTTTAAGATAAGAATATGAATTGTTTTAGAATGCACCTGCAATCAGTTCTGGTGAACTAAAGTACAGAACCCATGCCAAACCTTTGAGTTTTTTTCCCCCCCACTGTTATGGTGGTCTTTGATAACCAGCGTGTCTTAGGGATTTCTTACATTTGAGTATAACAGTGCAAGAACTCAATCAAAAGTGGATTTTTTAAAACAGTATTAAATGACATTGCTCCCAATATTTACTTTGCTCCCCAAATATACTGAGCGGTGTGTTCAGTGCTGGGAGATGTGGAGAGGATACTTCCTGGCTTCCTGTAAACGTTCATTAATTGTCAAAATCCTTTCCCAAGGCTTCTTGCCGGACAACCAGCCCGATCTTGGACAGGCAGGAATGCCAGTGGGGAGTGGAGTGGGCGGGCAGCGATGGGATAAGAGGATGGTTTGTGAAGTGGAGGTGACTGTTTTTGTAGTAAGGGGAAATGACAGGGGGTGGTGGAGAGAGCATGTAGGTGGTTTATAAGCTAATTTGCTGGGCTGGTGGAAACACTCCTGCTCATCCTTGTCCATTAGCAGTGCTTTAAAGGCACTTTTCTCTTACTTCTTGAGTTTTCCCCAAGACCTGGGAAACTTAGCTGATCAGAATTACAAATAGGAAAGATACCAAAAAGATACTAAAAACTCAATTTTTAAAAGCTTCCAATAACAGACCGTCCTTGTGAATGGATTATAGCCCTCAATTGATAAAGCAGTCAGGCTTCCTGTCCACTTAGAGCCAAATGAGATCAGGAATGGAAGTGGGTCAGGTAAACTGTGGGACTCATTTATTCACCCCAGGCAGCCATTACTGAGGCTGATGGTTGTCTTAAGAAAGAAATCTGCTGCTTATGACAAAACCCTTTCCACAGCACCAGAGGGAAGCAAGGTGTCACGAGAGAGCAGGAAGTTTAGCAGCTGGGTCAGGGTAGTTGCCACTTCGTTGATGTCAACCTGGATCCAATGCTGGAGACTGAGGAGGGTGATCTTCTTCCTGGATGGTAACAAGGAGGAGGTCTACCTTATCATCATGTAGCAAGAGAAGCTCTTGATTTCAGTGTCATCTCCCTCTTCCCATCTCAACTCCTACTCCAACCTCTCTCCCTGGATGAGCTTTCTCCTTCCAGGACTTCACTGGGTTTGAGGTCCACACCTCTCTGGGGTTACATTATGGAAAGTGCAGCATGCCACTACTATGACTGAATGCTTTGCAGGAGGGTATTAGATAGTACCACACAAACTGACCAGGCATGGGAACAACATCCTCTGAAGCATGATGCCCTTCTCAATGATGATCATATTGAGGAGGTGGGATTGGAAGTATTGCATCTGTTCTTCTGTCTGCAGCTACCACAAGAGTCAATAGCAGCCTCATCTTCGAGAGATATTCCTTATCTCCTAGGATTCATCATCATTTTGGGATTTGGAGTGAAGATCTCAGATCTGTTGGAAGTTAACGGAGTCATAGTGGTTTCCTAGAAAATGAGTGCACATCTAGAGAAAGCTACAATGTGGAACTTCCTTTGTTTCAGTCCTACTTGGACTCCTTCCCACAGCTCTTTCTCCGCTACATCGATGACATCATCGGTGTTGCTTCCCTCATCCGGAATTGAAAAAAATTGATCAACCTCGCCTCCAATTTCCACCCTGCTTTCATCTTCACCTGGTCCATCTCTGACTCCTTTCTTTTCTTCTTGCTATCTCAGTTTCCATTTCTGGGGATAGGCCAGGGAGTTGGAACACAGACTGGGTGACTGCCTTGCACGCCAACATTTGTCACAGGCCTGCTGCAGTATTCCAGTGAGACTCAGTGTGAGGTTGGTGAATAGCATCTCATTTTCTGATTGGGAGCCCTGCAGCCTCTAGCACTCAACATTGAGTTC